CAAGGCTCTGTCTTCATTCCAGTCCAGCTACTGATAGAGCTCCCAAAGAGCACCTGTGTAAACAATCTGTGCTCTTCCCACTATCACTCTCAATAAACACACTGAAAAGCTTTGAAATGTAAATACAATGATCAAAGAGAAGAAAAAAACAATATTTCCAAGCCTCCAGCCTCTAAGTGGCAATGTTACTTTTTTTCTTCTGCTGTTACAGCCCTGTTTATATTCCAAACTTACGGATAAAAATTCTTAAGAGAAAAACAATCCAATCAAGCATTGTAAAAAAAGAAATTTTTAATCCACAAGTATAAAAAAAGAAGAAAAAGTAGTAGAAGAAAAACTAACCCATCCAATTTTTAAAAAGGAGACATTTGCAGAAATTCCATCCGTAGAAAGAAAAATTAAGAAAAGATAACACACTAAGTTTAATGTAGCTTAATCTCGCCGCTTATTTACTTCTGTCTTCAATTTTAATTTAGTTTTTGATTTTCTTTGGATAGTCTCTTTTCTAATAATAAAATTTCCTCACCAATTCGACACACTTTCTCTTCCGCTTTCTTTCTGTTCTTTAGCTGTCCCAACTTCAGCTTCAAGGCTGCATTTCTGTCATCTGAAAAAAGAGCTTTTCCTGGATCGATCAGGGACTTTGCAGTGACCATGAGATCAGAAAGACATGCTCTTCTCTATCGTCATCTCTTCGGGACGGTTTAGGTCCAAAAGGACCTTCCAGTGGCAGAAATATTGACCATGATCTTGGAGCTCCAAGATCGCATGTCATATCATTGCGACATCAGCTCCTCCCCGAAACTTAGCATACTTTTTAAAAAAAGCTTCAACATATTTGTCATATTTAGTTATATGGCTATTTTTACTATTCTTAACTTTAATATTTTTATTTTATGTTGTTACTATTATTGATATATCTAGTTCCTTAAGAAGGTTTTCATGCATTTATTTCACTGCATTCTTATAACCAAGGGCAAGCTATTCCAGGACCAGCTGGTTTTCCTGGTGAAAGAGGGAGAAAAGGTGACCAGGGGCCTCCTGGAACATCTTTGCCTGGGCCAAAAGGAAGAGATGGATTTACAGGACCTCGTGGTTCACCTGGGCCTCCAGGCCTCCCTGGTGGAACAGGCAAGTCACTATTATCTTTAGAAAATGTATTATTTAATATTTAAAAAGACCTGAGATAAGCTGTAAATACCAGGATTGTGGCCAGAATGTGCTGAATGAATTTGTCAGAGAATATAATATTATACTTTTACTTCAAAGCTACTATTCTGGCCAGGTTAAAGGGCTGTACAATTAGTGATTGTTGACTTCTGACTGTAATTTATTAAAATCATACAATTAATCAAGTGATTCTTGCTTACAAACCAACAGCTGCATCTTTGTCATTCTATCCATTCACTGAGAAAATAAAAAGTATATATGAAAATCTTTATTTTCCATAAAAATATAACTGTCTTTTCTGACAAATGTTTCTAGCCTTTGTATTAAGATACTTTGTCTAATAGGCCTTTAGGCAGTTAAATTCATCTGCATAATAGTGAACCCCATAGCGAAAGAGGATTGTGTTTCCGTAGCTTGAAGAGTTAAAAGAATTTTTAAAAAGGGATTTTTGGTTTCCAAACCCAGAAAAAAAGAAGGATTAAGTTTAGTGGAGGGTTGTATTAAGCCTTAACTGACCAATGCTAAGGCAGATAGCAAAGCTCAAAGGTTAATATATTTAAGGCCATCAGATGATGACTATGTCATATGAAAGATTGCAACATGGCATGGTTGGATCATTCAGAAACCTAGTATGATTGAAAATAATGGCTGTTTGATCGTTTAAGCTTATTCATATGTACGTATGGAAAATGAATTAATTCCAAAACATGATCAATCTGATTGCTAATGAAGGATGGAGAGAATGGGGGATGGGAATATGTAATTGGGGATAGATGATCCTTTAAATAAACTGGCTCTATGCCATGTAGGGCTTTAAATGTCAAATCCAGCTCTTTGAATTGTACCAGAAATAGACTGGTAACCAATGTAGCTTATGAAGTGGAGACATAACATGTTGTGTTCCCCTAGAAACACACATAATTGCTCATGCCACTATATTCTATACAATAGTAGTACCAACTGAAACTTCTGGATACTTTTCAAATGCAGCCCTGTGTAGAGTGTATTATAATAGTCCAGCTGGGAGGGGACTAGAACATGAATATTTGTGATGAGAGCCCCAAGATACTATTACTCTGCTGGTATAAAAAATAAGTGGTAGCAAGAATAGAATGCAAACTCCACAAATTAGTTGTTAACGGTGTCTTGGAAGGTGTTTGGCAGAAGGCTGATTGAAGGGGTACAAAAGATAAAAATGAACAAAATTTGAGAGATAGTATAATGATAAGTGAGAATGACCTTGAGGGATGAGATCACATTGTAGCAAGGTCTATATTGCAATACAGTACCCTTTTTTCTTAACCTCTGCAATTGTTGGATAGGAGGTACTGCAATATAGATTTCTTTAAAAGATTATTATTTTGCAAATTGTTGGGATTGCTAAAATATAGAGGGAGAATGTTATATCAATTAGCCCTAAAGAAATGGGCATTATTAATAATATAATCTCATGGCTCCTGTCTTTTATTTTTGTTTGGTAATCAATGTCATTGGTGTAGATCACTGCTGTTTAAACATCAAAATTAATATCCTTCATTTTCTTACTATTGCAGATGGAATTGGGTGTGAACGTGGTCTACCTGGTGACCCAGGTCTTCAAGGCACCCCAGGACAGTCAGGCTACACAGGAGAAAGAGGAGAGAAAGGTAAAAATGATATTGGTTTTTGACTTTCATTTTTGAATTCCAAAAAGGAGATGTCATTGATTAAACATTAATAAAAAAATAAATACAATAAAAAGAAGAGTTGTCCTCGGTGTACAAACACAATTGAGCCCAAAATTTATGTTGCTAAGTGAGAAATTNCATACTCAAACTATTCCTTTTAATCAGAGCCTCTAACAATGATAAATCTGTGTCTCATAGAAGTTACATCAAATAATAGGTAAATCTTTAAGAGCTGAAAAAAAATTCTCCAGCTCAGAATAAAAAACGTGGCAATCAAAAATTCATAGTTCTCCTCAAACTATTGTGTCCTAGTAAGCATTAGAATAGCAGAGACTGAGTAGAAAGTATTTTCCGCTTAATCTGTTATTGGTTACCATCAGTGGTAAAGAGGAAGAATCAAGTAATGATCTTTCAGAATGAAAGGAAAAAAAGAATGCAGCTGATTTCTGAATCATTCATCTTAACATGATAAGTAAAACTAGGGTTTGCTGAGCTCTCATCTATTATGTTTATAAAACCATAGGATTATCCTCTTTTATTATTTAATCCAAAACATACACAGGGTAATTTAGCCACAATACCTCCTTTAGACCTCTGCTGGTTGTCAACAGTTTTAAGTATTGGTTCAAAAGTGGCAAACTACCATGTTTCGGCAAAAAAATAAGACCTACCCCAAAAGTAAGTCCTAGCTTGATTTTTACATGTGCATCCAATATAAGTCCTACCCCAAAATAAGCCCTAATTAAGACCCCACCCACTCCAGGGTGAATGGGTAAAAATTAAGCTAGGGTGGGGAAGGAGTGGAGCTGCCGTACTACTTACCTTTGGACAGTTGCAGTCAGGCCTCGTATACCCCAACACCTGCCATTTCTTCTGCAGCCCGCAAAGGCCCGCAAGACTTTTCTGAAGGCCTCTGCAGCTGATAACAGAGCTTTGGATCCATCTGGAGTCCTGGGCTTCAAAGGCCCTCAAGAAAGTCTTGCTGGCCACAGAAGAAGTTTCTGAAGGCCTCTGACAGAGAAAAGGACGCCAGGGACCACATCACTCCCCCCCCCCAAAAAATAAGGCCTGGTTCCTTTTTTGGTAGCAAAAAAAATTATAAGAGAAGGTCTTATTTTCAGGGAAATGTGGTATTTCCTGTTCCATTAGCCTTAAGAATAAATCTTATCAGCAGAAAGGTTCCACAGACTCCACAGCTAGTACACTATTTGGGCTTACAGTATTTTTATAGATATAATTTATACTGTTAAAACTTTTAAAAGTTTTCAAGTGGTTAATAGTATGTATTTGGAGTTGAAGGCTTTCGTACAATCAAAGTTATTAAAGAGAACTGATACACATTTCTGCATTGGTTATGTTTTCTCTTTCCTCCCTTCCCAATGTAATCGGTTATACCCAGTTTTTAAAAATATTGTTTCAAAGTCAGTAGATAAATTCCTTCTTTTCCCTCCTCCCAGGGAGACAAGGGCATAGTAGGACCTCCTGGACCTCCAGGAATTGTAAGTGTAAAATCTGGTTTTAAATGTGTTTAAAAAATAAGTAGATAGATCAGTGCAGACTAGACTGTTTGCTTGCGTATTGCAATAGTGACCTCTCAGACCAGCAGCAGTTTCTGGACTGTCAGCTACAACTATTTTAAATTATCTGGGCTGAACCTGATATTGACTATATGTAAAGTATTACAGTCCTATGACTTACTATCCCAATAATCTCCTTCCTTCCTTGCTTCCTTCCTTCCTTCCTTCCTTCCCCCCTCCCTCCCTCCATAAAGATCTGATCACATTTAGATACAGGAAGGCTTGGGAAGTTTGGGAGTTACAATTCCAACACATCTTGGAAACACCAGGGTTGGGAAGGTTGAGCTAAAGCAATTCCTAAGAAAGACAGGAATCCCAGAAATACTGTAAGCTCTGAGCTATTTGGAAAATTTCAGATTTAGGAGTTTTCTGTATTTCAATGCTCATCATTATTCAGGTTACAGATGAAAGAGATGAAGAAGTCTTTGGTGAAAAGGGTGATTCAGGACCTCAAGGGTTTCCAGGAAGGAAAGGTGAACCAGGTCCCCCAGGTAAATCTTGGTCATTATTCATTATGTATTCTTAATTGGTTGAGAAATTAAATGAAGTTAAATAAAATTTAAATTACTAGTACTTTTACTCATGATGTTTTAATTCTGTTGTATTACAAGCTGCCTTGATTGTCAAGTGGATCGAAAGGTGGGGTATAAATCTAATAATAATTCCAATAATAACATATGTAATTATTTTTTGTCATGATTCGACAGAAAATAAATAATCCAGCCTCTAGAAAAAAGCCAATCTTCTACAATATGTCTTATTGGTCCCTAGATTATTATGCAGTCAAATATCAAACACAATTTAAGATTTTATTTTCTGAAACTTGATTATATTTATTTTATAGGTTTTCAAGGTAGTCCAGGGCCACCAGGTCCTCCGGGTGAGAATATTTATTAATTTAGTTAATTAATTGATTAGTTTTGGACTGATTTTTGCCATACCTTTGTCAACTTTTAGTTCCAATATTTCTGTGGATATAAATAGTATATTTTCATTGATATTTGCCATAGTTTTTGAACAATTATTTTATATTTATAAAGCATTCATGTATCTTCAATATCATTTTCCTATTTTGTATTGAATTTTCCAGTGTCTGGCATTCTTAGATGTTATCAGTGGTTTTGCATCTTTTCTTTTATAATTGTATTTTTCCTAGCAATGTAATTAAGATAACTGATATTATAGATGCTTAGTCTTTAAAAGCAAAAGAGTAAAGAGGCTACTTTACATCTATGAGATGAGGCAGAGGGAAGGCTGGGTTGTAGGTTACATGTGAAACTGATTATGAACACCTTATCCAGTAACAGTTGTAATGTACTTTCAGAAACTGCATCTTTGTCTGCATCTGACTAGCCACCCAGTCTCCCTCTTCCTCTCCCTTTCTCCTGCTTCAATTTTCTATGAGTTTAACCATTCGGTGAATCAAATAAAGTGAGTTGCAGTTCACAAAAGCTGAGGCCTTTTACTAAAACTTGTTGTCTGAAAAGATGCTCCTTCTGCTTCATACTGTAAATACGGTATTTAAATACATTATTTAAATGTACATTAGATTATCTTTTCTTTTTTGAGGCATGAAATTCTTTTTCTCTTTTATGAGAAACTTAGCATACTTTTTTAATATACAAAGTTTTTTATTTTTTGTTCTCTACATACAATTATAGGTATACATTCACATGGTTATTATTCTTTTTTTTACATTCATTGTTCTTGTACATTTGTCATTCCATTTATAGAATTATACTATTCCATTTGGGTTGCTTTGTTTACCATCCCTCGCCTGTTTGACACCACCTTCTCCCTTTCTTTTCTCCCTCCCTCCCTTCTCTACTTTCTACCTTCCTCCTTTCCCTTTCTTCTTTCCTTACCTCTCCCCTCCTCCTCTCTTCCTCTTCCGCTTCCTGCCCTCTCTCCTTCTCTCTTTCTCTCCTTCTCCCTTCCATCTTCCTCTCCTCCTCTCTATCTTCCTTCCCTCCTCTTCCTCTCCTTCCTTCCTTTCTCTCCCTCCCTCCCTTCTCTACTTAGTTCCTTCCTCCTTTCCCTTCCTTCTTCCCTTACCTCTCCCCTCCTCCTCTCTTCCTCTTCCGCTTCCTGCCCTCTCTCCTTCTCTCTTTCTCTCCTTCTCCCTTCCATCTTCCTCTCCTCCTCTCTATCTTCCTTCCCTCCTCTTCCTCTCCT